CTTCTCCTTCTCCTTCTCCTTCTCCTTCTCCTTCTCCTTCTCCTTCTCCTTCTCCTTCTTCTTCTTCTCTTCTTCTTCTTCTTCTTCTAAGAGGAAAAAAAAAGTATGAATCATAGAACCACGAAAAAAGACAGGAACAGTTATCGTGAATCCCAAACGGAATTCATCTGAACTGAAGTAACCGGCCAATATAATAATCTGTACCTCCTTATAATGAGTTTTGTGTCTCAGTTTGTTCACAGAACGTCCACTGTAGACTCTGGTGTAGTGGTTGAATGTATATTGTCGTGCGGAGGCTGACTTGTTTGACAGGGTAAGCAAAGTGAGACGGAACCAGACAGGGCCTGGGGATACCACACAACAATCTTACTCAGGCAGCAACACTAAGTTGTAAATGAAAACAATTTCTGAATTCATATTATTGTATGTTCTACCGCCAAAATAATCGTGAAAGTATCTCACTAAATATTTATTCCAACTAAAACTAAATTTTACTTTAGATGTGAATACACAAACACAAAGCAAAGAAGCAGAGATGCCAGTACCACATGTATTACCAGTGAGTTTAAACTCTTTGGTAGAATATGGGAACTGTCAGTTTTTTATATCACATTTGGCTGTTTTTGTCTAGCTTTTCGCGGCCAGGAGCCGGTGTCATAATTGAGGTCACAATATGATTATAAGACGTTAAGAAGTCGAGGGAAAAAAACAAGACTCGCAGAGTCAAGAGATTATTAGGAGTTAGTTCCCCTTACATTTAGGAGGTAGACTCGACCAGTGTAATAGTTCGCTTACCTAACCAGTGCTTGTTACTGCTTATGACTGTGTCTCGAAAGGGGTGAACAGGGTATATGTGGCACTGAAACAGTTTTGAGTGCTGTATACATGTTCCCTTCAACTCTTTTGGTAGACTCTTCCTGCTTCACTTTAAGCTTATTAATTAAAGGTCGGAGGGTGGGGTGTTTATGTGTGTGTGTGTGTGGGGAGGGGGGGAATCTCATGATCAGCTCACTGTCCAGTGGATACATTCACGCCTAACGAACTTTGACAGGTCAGCGGACAGATACTGGAGTGTCCTCTCCCTTCTCTCAATCCGGTCCTCACAGGGTAAGGGGATGAGGGAAGAGGGGGAGAGAGTAAGAGAGAGAG